CTATGACTCACTTTAGGAAAGAAACCTGGCTTCTCTGGCTTGCTTTGCAGGAGATACGTGGGTGAGACAGGAGGAGAGGGAAAGGTCAGAGAGGCTTTGTTCCCGAGACCTTCTAATCTCCTGTCCTCAGCCTGTTCAAACACCACACTTGATCATATTATTTTCTGAACCACAACAAAGTTTAAGTCTTATCCGAGAAACCATGCATCCAGCCCCAGATAAGGAATCGTGATTAGTCTAAGCCCAAAGTTTCCCAACTGTGTACTCATTCCCCAAGACGCCAAAGCAAGCTCACTCGGGGTAATGATGTCACGGCATATTTCAAAATGTCAAGCGAAGTGGTGGGACTCAAGGGTGCCTACAAACCGCTGGTGTGGTGGCAGTTTCCCTCTTAGGTCATATTGCGTCACAATCCTGGGCTGTGTCATGACATCACTGCAAAGCTGGGGTGTTAATGCTTGCTGTGATAAAAAGCCAAGGACAGTGGGAAGTGAGGGTGACATTGTCTGGTCTGACCAAGATCCCAGAATTACAAAATGTACAACAGATGATATCTATTCTTGATTCATCTATTGGTTGATGGATCTGTTGCTCTATAGATATCTATACCACACATTAGTAACAGCCGTTATTCTACAATTTAAAAAAAAAAAAGGTGTCATTAGGGCTTTAAATGTCTTAGGGTTTTAGGTGACTATTAGACTTTAAATAATATTTTTGTGAATTTGCTTTGAAATTCTTTTTAAAAAATGTACTTGAGTTCCCAATGGAGCTTGAGCAAAGGAGTCTGGGGTTCTAGTGAAAGCCACATAGGTTCTGCTTCCTTCTTTTCCACACAGCTCTGGGTAACCATATGATCTAGCAGTGGGAAAGCAGAATCTGCTGGGGTGGAACAGAGGACAAGGATTCTGAAAATGTCTTTGCTTCCCTAGCAGAGGACAACAACAGCCAGCACTACTAGCCCTCCTCCAGTGGGTTGCCCTCCTCCCAAAGCTCTCCTCCTTAGCCCTCCTCCAGCAGTCTGTTTTCATTAGTACTGCAGTCCTCCAGGTGATTGGGTAAAGACTACATCACCTACCATCTCTTGTGAGTTACTGTAATCAGTAGATCCAGCTCCAGTAAGGGGTGTGGGAGCAGAATGGATGTGTCACGGTTTGAGGTCCTGCTCTTAAAAAGGTTAGGTATTGCCTCTACTCTGTCCTTGCAAAGCCCAATGAATTTAAAAGTCTAAATTAAACAGAAAAGTCAGCAGCACCGAGAAAAGAATGCTGTCTCCTTAGTGTTCTTTTCTAGGTACCATATTCACTGAGGTTTTAAAATCGCTTTGCTATCATTATATATATATATACATATATATATATATTAAATTTGATATGTCAATATGATATATGTTCATTGAAATACTGTTACATTATTTAAAATAATAAAATAAAGTCACATTTTTAAAACAAAGGTGGAGCTTACTAAGGACAGAAACAGAAACATGGGCATTAATGAAGAGAAAGTTATCCTAAGGGAAAGGCGAGCCTGCACCCAAGAAATCCATGTGAATTTCTCAGAGAGAAAGTCATACTTAAGGGACTTAACAATAGCCATATATATGATTTATGTGGCCGCTAAAGTCATAGTCTTCAAAGCATTTCTACAGAACTTATTTTCCTGAGTTTTTGTTGTTGTTGCATCATGGTTTTTGTTGGTTTGTTTTTGCTTTTTATTTTATAAATGCAGTCCTAGGGTTTTTCCCACATTGGATGGGAGTACAGGCTAACAAAACAAAACTAAAGGTCACAGGGTCAAAAGAGCCCTTACTACCCTAGTTCACAAGGAAGTTAAGACGGACATTGTTTCAAAACAAAGTCCACAATCTTGTCTCAAGAAGTTCCAGGTTTGTAACTGAGAAGCAGATTGTTGAAGGATTTAACCATGATGCCTTGCTATTTTAGTGTCGTTCTATGAACTAGACAAAGAAATAAAGATAAAATACAAATAAAGACAAAAAGAAATATTGTCTCTATGCACACAATCATAGCAAATTTTGTTAGTTTTTGTTGAGATTCTAGACTCTTAACAGACAAGTGACTGCAGCCAGACTCAGGGGTGAGGGATTCCTCTACTTCCCCCATGCTCCTCTAGTTTACCCTGTATTACTGTTCCACCTCAGTTTCCCTGTGATACTTTGACCTTTTAATGCTAAAAATCGATGATATCCAAAGATACATTTTGAACCTTTATTACCGCGGAATTACATATAGGCCTTGCATACCCATGGATTCAAAGTTTTGGCATGCCTAATCTAGGGGGAGCATGAAAAATTCTGGGCTTGGGTCCTAACGATCATCATTTTAGGAATCTGGAATCCAGGACTTCAAATCACACAAACAATAGGAATCCAGCAGATTGTTAGTATGAAAGAAAAGCAGGGCCTCTTTTCTCCCATGAGGTGCCTGAGCATGATGGCATGAGCAAACCGTTAAAACTGAAGGCAGACTCTCACACGGACATGTAATTGGGTCATGCAAATTTGGGACAACTGAGGACAGACTGGCACAGCTGTCAAGTATACTACAGTACTCTATTCATGGCACGGGTTCCTCCTTGTGTTGCTGTCGGCTTATTAAGGACATCAAGTCACAGGATGAGTGTTCTCCTTACTTTCATTTCTGGGTTTAGAAGTGAAGCACTTTGGGCTATAGAAACACATACACACACACAAACACACACACACATACAAACATACACACAGATGGTTACATATAACAAGTGTTGGAAAACACAAAACTATCAAAAAAAAGTTTAAGAAAGTAACCTTGTTAAGAAAGTAATCTTGTGGTAGACAAGATTAAAAGAAAATTAATGTGAAATTATTATAGACATTAAGTATATACTGACAGGTCCTGAAAGAAAGCAACGTAGTAATTTAAAGTGTAAGGTTAGGACCTTGGGATTTCAGTCCAGTGTTCCAATTTGGGTCTCTGTCTCCTTTCATCGCCTGATGAAGGTTAATATCCAGGAGGATGCCTATATGTTTTTCTTTGGGTTCACCTTCTTATTTAGCTTCTCTAGGATCACGAATTATAGGCTCAATGTCCTTTATTTATGGCTAGAAACCAAATATGAGTGAGTACATCCCATGTTCCTCTTTTTGGGTCTGGCTTACCGCACTCAGGATAGTGTTTTCTATTTCTGTCCATTTGCATGCAAAGTTCAAGAAGTCATTGTTTTTTACTGCTGAGTAGTACTCTAATATGTATATATTCCATACTTTCTTCATCCATTCTTCCACTGAGGGGCATCTAGCTTGTTTCCAGGTCCTGACTACTACAAACAATGCTGCAGGAGCAGGAGAGAGAGCACGAGCAAGGAACTCAGGACCGCGAGGGGTGCACCCACACACTGAGACAATGGGGATGTTCTCTCGGGAACTCACCAAGGCCAGCTGGCCTGGGTCTGAAAAAGCATGGGATAAAACCGGACTCGCTGAACATAGCAGACAATGAGGACTACTGAGAACTCGAGAACAATGGCACTGGGTTTTGATCCTACTGCAAGTACTGGCTTTGTGGGAGCCTAGGCAGTTTGGATGCTCACCTTACTAGACCTGGATGGAGGTGGACTTCCCACAGGGCAGGGAACCCTGATTGCTCTTTGGGCTGTTGAGGGAGGGGGACTTGACTGGGGGAGGGGGAGGGAAATGGGAGGCGGTAGCGGGGAGGAGGCAGAAATCTTTAATAAATAAATAAATTAAAAAATAAATTAATAAATAAATTTAAAAAAAAATAAAGTGTAAGGTTATAATTACTGTCAAATTTGTAAATTAAATGGGACCTTTTCTCTTCTTTAAAGAAAAATTTTAAGCCTTTTATCAGTTCCTAGGTGTAAACAATATTATCGTCAACATTGTCTTGAAAAAAAAAAAAAAGAAACAAGGACAGTTATCTTCAGGTGCTCTTGAGGCTCCAGAACCATCCCAGACAGGTCCCTGAAGAGGACAGCAGCAGCAGCCAGAGCTGGAGCAACAGCTCACGGCAGCCTGAAGAGTTCTTTACAGAGGTCTCCACTCAAGTGAAGCTGGGACTCTTACTTCACCGGAGAAAAGAATTTCAAGATGAGTTCATATGAAGCAAACTCAGAATGTATTAAGACATATTCTCCCAGAGATTTAAAAGTGGGGAGGAAGAGGGAGAGAGAGAAAGACTTAGAGAAAAAAAAATAGATTCTCAAGAGAGAAAAAGAGAAGTCCTAAGTTCTTACATCAATAACATTTTGGATAGGAAACAATATTTGGTTATTGGGTTTCTTTTTCTAATTTCTTAAACAATTATGTTTTTGTTTCTGTGGATGCACACACATTCATACACACAACTTGTAAGTGTGGACAACTTGTAAGAGTTGATTTTATTTCCAACATGTGGGTTCCGAGGATTGTTCGGGTTGACAGGGTTGGCAATAAATGCCTTTACCTACTGACCATTTTGTTGACCCTAGATAGTGGGTTTCTTAACTTGTAGGGCTGAAAAGGGGCCTCTAACTGAAGGAGGTTCCCTCTGCAAGGTCCAAGTCCCATTAGACTGGGCTAGTTACTATGGTGAGGGACAGCATAGCAGTAGAGCTTTAGCTGCTGTCCTGTGGGTGAGGTTCTCTCTTCATTAGGAGTAGAATAGGAAAGCTGATAAGCCAGAGAGATCGCAGAGTTCTAGATCTACCTTATAAAGAACAAGTAAAAACAGATGTCCTGACCAAAACGAACAAACAAACAAACAAAAAAAAACCCAAAACCAAAAAAAAAACCAACTAACAAACAAACAAACAAAAAACAAATTATGGACAGACACAAATTACAAGCACAAAATAAAAGAATTCATATAGATTAACATGAACTGAGAGCTGACTGGGTGATTAGATGGATGGGAGTTTTAAAAACAAAACAGTCAAAGGGAGTATAAAATAGCAACTTTTACTTCATTAAAAATACACTAAAATTTTTATTACTATGTGTCATGCTCAGATTCATATCATAGGACAAAATTCCTTAAGCTATAAAATGGAATGTTACAACTTTAAGTAGATCATCATGGCTGAAGATATCTGCTTCTGTGGCCCGCTCCTGGCCATCTGCAGGACCTGCGAGTCCTCAGGAAAGATAGAAAGCGTTTGCAGGAACATAGTCGCCTCATGGTGAGCAGAGAGCTTGCCTCCCAGCACGGTTCTCAATGGCTTCTTCCAAGGCCATCAGATTCACAGAAAAGTATGTGAAGATCAATGCAATCCAGCTACCCACCACGTTCCAGCTAGTCCCTAGCTGGAACATGCTTTTATTCCATCCTGTCCTTATCCTCACAAATAATAAGTGGCCAAGGAAGAATTTTAAATTAGAACTTTCTAGACTCTGCCCTTAATCCCTTATGCTTCTCATGACTCAATAATTTAAGAGTCCTTAAATTTTAATTAGAATCATATTTCCCATCATTCACCAATAAATGACAATAGAAGGCAAAATCTAGCAACTGACACTTTCAATAATGAATTTGCAGAGGTGATCAAATGCCATCAGAGCAAGCAATTTTTTTTATAGTTCTCCGGTAAAGATTTTCCCCCTCTGGAACTGAACTGAAAGCAAAAACAAACCCTTCCTTCCTCAAGTCTCTGTCAGCAATTTATCGCAGTAGCAGAAGAGTGACCAGCACAGACAACAACGCTTTCTTCTAAGACCCAATCAACAGGAGAGTGACTGGCACCGAGCCGACAATGTGTTCTTCTGAGACCCAATCACCCCTGCAAGCTTTCCAAACACGAAGTGGGCATCAGTCTCTGTATACAGCCTTGGGAAGGCAATTGAGAGGTTCTCCACAATCTGGTTCTAGATTTCAACAAGTGATTCCAGTACCCAGTTCCAATTAGAGTACCATTTAAACTATTAACCGAATTGGTGATGTAATTACCAGTTTCTTAAAAAGCGACCTGAGACCAAGACTTCGGGAAGAGCAAAGGCTGGACAGATTAAATGGGAAGAAAAGATTTGGTGGGAGACAAATCTGAGAAGGAAAATGTGTGAAAGGACCAGGCTAGCTAGAGAAAGAAGGCTCATTACAGGAAGATGAAAGCAGAAACCAACAGAGAAGTTTTGCCGATGTCCGAAGCCAGAGAGAGAACTCCACAGGACATACAAATGTGGAAGTCATGGTGAAAACAGTCACCTCTTTACTAAAGAATGCTCGATCGCCCTGCCCCTGCAGAAACCACATTAGGTGCTCCACTCACCCACCTTTTCTTCTCGGGCCTTTCACTGGACCCTGTGGGTAAATGTGGAACATGATCGCTGGCTTTGGCAAACAGAATCGTCATTCTGAATTCCCATCAGATTTAACAAGGGTAATGAGCAAACACGGTAGTATGTCTTTAAACTTTAGTAACATTAAGAAGCAAATTATATTGAAATCCTCTGTTTTCAAAAGGTTGTTCCATACATGAAACAAGATGCCATGGCGTTATGAGTCATTTTTATAACCTTTTCAAAAATGGACTTATTTAAATAAATATGGCCAGTGAATACAGAATTACATAATCACCCCAAGAAAGTACAAGAGTTTTCATAATGGTCTCTTGGCTTTTTCCTCAGTTGATATCCACGCCAAAGAAATTGGGTTGTAGCTATTGTTTGTCTTGGTGGCTGAAAAGACCTTTCCAAGCCCAGAATGAATGGGGCTCATTCATAGGTCTTGCACATGGGCTGTGGCCCCTTTTAACGCATAATGGACCCAGCAAGGATATTCAGGACGAAAACAAATTTTAGTTCTAGCCAGTTGTGAGGTCTCCGGTTTTAAGGAATGTTTGTTAAAAACACAGAGCTGCTTCGGTTTCTGTGTTCTTCCCTGCCATTCTGCAGGAGATTAGGCAAGGAAGACGTTCTCCCAGTCAGAGAAGACAGCTACATTTGTGTTTTAAGTAACAGAGGAAATCATACGTTGCTTAAAACCTAAATTACAGAGGACGTAGGCACTTCCAATAGACTAAGCCTGACACAAGGACGTGAAATGATAGCCCGAGACAGAGAGGAAACGGCAGAGCCTGGTGGGGGAGGAAGTCTTCTGAGGGAGTCACACCTGTGCCAGGGGACCGATATTTGTCGTTGTTAGTGCAGGGCTTAATATATTTTTTAGATGGTTGTTTAAAAGGCAAAGCATTGCAACAGTTGGAGGCAAAGAAACTGGAACCCGATTTCTCCACACCCTCTCGATCGATAATTCATGTGGTCTTTGACTTCTGCCGTTCCTGTCTCATCTTGACTGGATTAAAACACGAGTAACTGTCAACAATGCATTGTCGAGGTGAAGTTCCCATTTCTAGGGTTAGACATATTACCCTTTGGAGAACTTGCTAAAAGAAAAATCATCCTCGGCCCAGGAGCACGCAGGAGTTAACTGCAAACGAGATCTGTGGCTTCCCACACAGAAGTTAGCCGTAATCTAGCACTGTGGCTTCCAAACAACGTGGTCAGAGATTTGATGTAAAAAGAGAAGGATTTAAAAACATTGAATTAAAAACTCACTATTTTTTTCTTTCTTTAGCAAGGAAACTAATATATTTCATAGTTTGGCCCAAGGCTCTCTTCCTCCCCCACTCTCTCTTTCTCCCTCGGTCTCTCTTTCAGGAGCACAGTGAAAAGGGAGAAGGGAGGTGGTGGAGAGAGACAGGTTCTTGGCATCTGCTCATACTCCAGCCTGTATTTCTGCCCACAGAGACTGGCCAGAGGAGCGCGGTGTCCAGCGCAGGGCGAGGAACCTGTGTCCTCCGCACTCCAGTCCCCAGCAGGGGACCTTTAATACTCGCTCTCAGTATGGACTTTTGAAGTACTTGATGGAATCCTCGCTAGGATAGTAAGAATTAAAGAACAGTTCTCAGACAAAGTTGTTTTTCAGTTTTAAAAAAAAATGGAGAAGGAAAAGGAGAAAAAAAAACGAAGAAAGAGAAAGAGGAGAAAAAAGAAGACAAAGAAGGAGGAAGAGAGAGAGGGGGAAGGAAGAAAGGGAGGGAGGGAGAGAGAGAGGGGGAAGGAAGAAAGGGAGGGAGGGAGAGAGAGGAAGAGAGAGAGGGAGGAAGGGAGGAAGAAAAAACAATGCTATAAATCAAATGAAACCATCTCTGAGAGAAACCTTCTCACAAGAAACTCCAGTGTTCCTTTTTTCCACCTGTTTCTCAAAGGTTACTGCCTGCAGATGTGATGATTGCAAAATGATTCCTTCATGGTGTTTTCACCATCCAAGTAGGGACTGAACTTACCACAGAAGCATTGCATAATTGCTGTGCGTGGAGCCTAAACATCGTGTTACACAATAGTGCACGGTTATAGGGGAAATGGGAGTTGTAGTCGCTTCAGGTGGTGGACGCTCTACTTCTGGGCGAGAGTGAAAAGCACAGCGCTTATCTATTCATTCTGTGTTGCAATTGCTCAGCAAATGGTCAGTCATGTTAGTGATTCTCTGACAGTGTTCGGGTGAGACTCCTGTCCATGGAAATAGCAAAGAAACTCTGAGATTTGAACAGGATCTGGAAAAGAAGAGACCATTTATTATTATTTCTTAATCTAAAGAAATTACATAAAGGTTTTGAGCCATCCTACATCTTAGAGGTCTTATAAGCAGTTTCCTCACTGAAGTTTGTGCAGAAAATTGTACTTTCGAGAATTTAGGCTTTGGTGTTAATGAGAGAATCTGAATCCTGGCTCCAGGGTTCTCTCTCTCTCTCTCTCTCTCTCTCTCTCTCTCTCTCTCTCTCTCTCTTCCCTTGAATGCAAGATGGGATTAATAATTCTACCCATTCTATAGGGAATTAGTGGGGATGAAGTGACGTGTATGTGAATGCTTCAAGTAGTGTTCTGTGGTTAGTAAGTGCGTAACACCTTGTGTATGTGTGTAGGTGTAGGTCAGCAGGCAACCCATGGGAGTCAGCTCAGCTCTCGCCTTCCACTGTGTATGTTGTGGGGATTAAATTCAGAGCATCAGGGTTCAGAGCAGGTGCCTTTATCTGCTAAGCCATCTCACCTTACCGTGTGCAGAACTGGAAAATGTTTTTGGTCCCACTGCCTGTGGTTACCTGATATTTTTATATGATCTGGTGTCTAAGACTATTTTAATTTCCATAATTATGTAGTCCAATATTCTAGAACTGGAGACAACTGCTAGACCTCTTGCTTATGAAGTGACTGGTCACATGGATAGTGGTGGTCCTATAAGAGTATGACAGAGCTGAAAAATTGGTTTCTGTCACAGCCACAGTAACTTCATACTGTAATGAATGCATTGCTCAGGCATCGGTGCTAATATTGTAAACAAACATATTACGAGATCAGTCATGTAAAAGCACAGCAATACAATTATGCAGTTAATAATAATATACAGCCATGTTACCGAGTTATTGATCTGATATACTTTTTTAAAGATTTATTTATGTGCATGTTTGCACATAACATGATTTTATAGCATCATATATGTGTAGGTACCCTCAGAGGGAACTGAAACCGAGTCTTCTACAAGAGCTGTCAGAGATCTTAACCAATGAGCCATCTCCTGCCTTCATATTCCCTCGACTTTATTATTACTTTTGCATGTACTTACATTTAAATGAAGAGTTTTACACGTTGGCAGCAGTTTGACTCGTCTCATGGGTCTTTGCCTTGGCATACCTTTTGACTGCCTTAAGAAGCTGAGAGAGATGATTTCCCTCTGTATCTAGGCATCAGCGACCTATCTAGCTAAGTTTGTGGAGGTAAGTCCATTCCATGATGTTTAGACATTGACAAAATCATCTGCCGATGCCTTTCACAGCCGGGGACCCCACTGTAAGCATCTCTTATCTTCTCCCTCTGTCACTCCTGGCTGTTTTCTCTGTTTCCCTACTATGGCTCTAGTCTCTATCTACACGACCTCCAAGATAGAAGCTACTCACACGGTTTGTTTTGTTTTTTTGGACTCTAAATTTGCATTCTTGAGCAATAATTTTGGCGTCTCAGCATGGCCTCAGATTGCTGTGGTTTGTTCTGTTTTTGTACCACCCCTCCTCGGTGCAACCTCTTAACTCTAATCTGTGATTTTTTTCTAAAGGAACTATTTTCTAAATCACAGGGTTGGACCTTTGGATAAATGTGGGTTGATTCACCTTTTGGCAATTTGAATCCTGAATGGAAGTGCCCCGAGGTGACCTAGCCACAGGATCCGTGTGTTCTCAAGGCTCAGAACTGTGCTGTTTTCTAAACTTCCGGAAGCTTTTTTCCTAGTGATGCCCTCAAGTCTGTGGGCTACTCTAACCACTCGGTTGTGGAACTCAGGACTCTGTTTCGTAAGCACTTACATGTTTCTTGCAACCAAAGATGTTAAGTGTCTAAATTCCCATTTGGGGAATCTTAATCAGGTATGGACAGTTATGGACTTGGATGAGGCTTGTTGCTTTGTAATGTCAACATCACAAATAATTTGATATATATTGAGAAAATGATGGTTAAGTAAAACTCCTGTCTACATCTATTTTAGTCTTAGAATATAACAAACTCATCTAATTGTACTCTTGGATTCTGTTTCAGGTAACATTTACATTGTCTCTGTACCTTCTGTCTTGAAGCTTTGAAGAAACCATGCCTGAGTTTGCGGATGGGTATGCATGATCTAAACTTGGACGGTGAAACTGTTGAACCATCCCAGACCTACCGTTGTTTCGGGGATCAACATGTAAAAGTTGTTCTAATCAAAGCAAACGATGGCTCGTAGATAAGTATGAGGAGAGCCTTTTTTTAATGCTAGACTGGAAACTGTATGAAATAAATTTAGCAATGACAGGGTTACCAATGGAAAGAACTTTTTTTTTTAGAAACAAATTAATATCAAGAGAAGTAGAGCAGAGAAATGCAGAGATCATTTCCAAAGAACAGTGTTTGACCCTTCATACTTTAGACATGGAAGCTAAGTTTTAAAATTCATAGCCAGGGGCTGGAGATGTAGCTGAGATTCTAGAGGGGGTGCATACCTGGGGACCCCCGGGCAGATCCCCAGTACCCATTAAAACTGGGTGCCGTGGTTCACATCTGAAATGTCCAGCTTTCGGGGTGTAAAGGCGGGAGGTTCCGAAGCTGAAAGTCATCCTCAGCTCCACGTTTGGTGCCACCTGGGCTATTTAACATTGCGTCTCAGGAAAATAAATGTAGTCGGTTTTCTCCCTCCCTTTTATGTCTGTAACTAAGAGGGTTCTTCTGCGAGCATAAAAGAAAGTAAAATAATACAACTTATCTGATGTTAACCAATGTACACAGTTTTCCTCTAACCCACAAAACAATTCTAGGGTAGACAGAATTATTCTCATTTTCAGAGCAGCCAATGGAGGCACACAATTGAACGATTGTGCCCATGCAACTAATACATCTCAGAGTTCCAGTTCAACTGCAGGCCAGTCTGGCCCTGGCTTTACTGACTCTAAGCTCTCAGATTCCTAAGGGAACCAGGACTTGAGGTTTCAGCAACCGAGATCTGCTTAGGATCTCAGAAACCATCTCTGTATGAAGCCATAATTAGACCAGAAGATGGGAAACAAATTATGTATATCTGAAAATGCAATGAGTTTGTGACCAGGCTACAAATTGATGAAGTAACTGTTATATAGAGTGCTCTCTTTTTTTTTTTTTTTTTTTTAAAAAAGGTATTCCTCTAAAGGAAAATGGCATTTTTCACTTCTAGGTTAGTGTTAGAATGTGTTCTGAAAAAAAAAAAAAAAAAACCTTCATACTCTTTTCTTATGCAACAGACATTTAGCCACACTAGTCTTGACCACAGAGAAATATGCTAGGCTGTAGGGAGGAATATCTGGCAAGGAAAAAGCCACCTTCAATTTACAGATCACCATCTGTCCTCAATGTCTAGCTGAAGTCAAAACATACTTGAAGCTCTGGATACAACATAAAATTTTCTCTGCGTGTAAAATCCCCCATGAGCCTTTTGACTTTTCGAATTCGGGCAGCAGGAAACACAGAACAGTGATCAGCAGGGCTGGTGCTGGGCTTCAGGATCCCCCATACTTCTCGGCTGCACAACCATGGGAGAGCTATTTCGCTTCTCTCTGCTTCATTTTCCTCACCTGTAAGATGGGAACTAGTGCTAACATCAGCAGCTCGTTGCCCTCCCCCACGCACCTCAACTAAATGAACTACAAACTTATGTCTAGTTGTTTAAGTCTGAGTATTTATAGATCATGTTTTTCCTAGACTATGATTTGCTTCTCTGCTTTCTCACACTCACATGTAAATATTTTACATAAATTAGCTCCCCAGATGAGCAAATTGTAATACAAGCCCCAGCATTGGAAAACAAGTTGATCCTGCCTGGGAACAGCCAGTAATCATTATAGCATAAAATGTCTGGGAAATTCTCTCAAGACAGTTTTTATTACCCAAGTTTTCTGTTTTAAAACAGTCCCCCTTTCAAATTGTCTACTCTATCTGATTTAACTTATGGCTTGCATACGTTATAAAAACAAAACTGGAGTAAACTCTTTCAACTACTAAAAGTGTGATCAGTTTAGAATCATCCTTAGAACTTAACTTTGAACATACATATCTGTCTCTTTCTTATTTATGGTGTGTGTGATATGTGTGTGTGTATTTATTGTACATGTATATGTGTGTGTATGGAGGTTAGAGGTCAATGTTGGGTATCTTCCTCAATCACTTTTTGTAGTAGGAGGCCACTTGTTTATTCCCGCTGCCCGACTCAAACTAACCACACAGAAACTGTATTAATTAAATCCTCCAACTGTTTGGCCTATTAGCTTTAGCTTCTTATTGGCTAGCTTTTGCACCTAAATTTAATCAACTTCTACTAATCTGTGTATTGCCACTTGGCTGTGGCTTACCAGCAAGGTTCCATTCACCATCTGTTTCTGGCAGGAGCTACATGGCTTCTCCTGACTCCGCCTTCTCTCTCCTAGGATTCAGTTTAGTTTTCCCCACTTAGCTTTGTTCTGTCCTTCTATAGGCCCAAAGCAGTTTCTTTATTCATTAAACAACATGAACGCAACACATAGACAGAAGGACCTCCCACACCAACTTTTGAATAGCATCTTTTATTGGACCTGACACTCCTCAGTTTGGCTCAGTTGGTTGACCATTGAACTCTAATGAACTCCCATCTCTCTCTTCTCAGAACTGGCATTACAGTTCTTGAAATTCATGTGGGTGCTAAAACCAGATTCATATGCTTGTATGGGCAATTACTTTACCAACTGAGCCCTCTTCTCAGCCCTTTCTAACCTGGAGGTGAAACACAGGTTAAGGGGGGATTCTCTCAAGCTTTGGAAATCAGAGAAATTTTCATTTGCCCCTCTCACCAGAGTAGCTTAAGAAATATAATTAGATTATAGTTCAAACAAATAAAAACTTATGTATTATCTTCTGAATACAAACTTGAAATGTCTAAACTGAATCTCTCAAGCAACAGAGAACTTAGGTAAAAAACAAACACTTCTTTCAGTGTTTAACTCAATGCTGAATACACTGCTGGCAGAGGCACATGCCATCATCATCAACAACAAGAACATGAAGCCAGGCCAGGTGGTACGACGCCCTTCATTCCAGTGCTGGGTAGTCAGAAGGGGGGATACTCTGTGGGTTCAAGGCCAGACAGAGCTGCATCATGAGACTTTGTCTCAAAAATAAATAAATAAATAAATAGGAAAAAAGAAAAAGAACATGATGGATGCAAAGATAGCCTGGATTCAGACCAAGATTCTGGAACTCATTTAGTGTGTGTGTGTGTGTGTGTGTGTGTGTGTGTGTGTGTACCTAAAGAGACCAGAATAGGATGTTTGGGGACTAGAGTTGCAGGTAGTTGTGACCTGCCTGATGTGTCTGAGAACCAAACTTGGGTCCTCAGGAAGTAATAAGCATCCTCTTAACTGCTGAGTTTTTCCAAGTCTCTCAGGATATATTTTTTCATGAGGTTTTTACACTAAATACATGACATGTGAAAAGTGCTTTGCATGGCTCCTTTGATTTAGTAACTACTCAACAAAATACAAGTGATGTGGGATTCCCTTCTGTATGCTGTGAAGACCATTGGTTAATAAAGAAACTGTCTTGGGCTTGCACAGAGCAGACTAGAGAGAGGTAGCTGGGCAAAACTAAACTGAATAATGCTGGGAGAAAGGAGGAGGAGTCAGTGAGAAGCCATGTAGCCCCACTGGAGACAGACACCAGAACTTTACCCAGTAAGCCACAGCCACGTGGCAATACACAGATTAATAGAAATGGTTTACATTAAGATGTAAGAGTTAGTTAATAAGAAGCCAGAGCTAATAGAATAAAGAAATTGGCTTGGCCTGATAGGGTACAGAAAGAAGGGTGGAATCAGAGAGAAGCCATGGAGCTGCCGCCAGAGACAGACATGCTGAAACCTTGCCGGTAGGCCATGAGCCTTGTGATCAAATATAAAATAAAGAAAATGGGTTAAATTAAGATGTAAAAGCTAGCCAATGAGAAGTTAGAGCTAATAGGCCAAGCATTGATTTAATTAATACAGCTTCTGTGTGTTTACTTCAGGAGTCTGGGCAGCCGGGAAATGAACAAGTGGCCCTCACACAACAAGTAAGCTAAAATAAAATTATACATATATACGCCTGTAAGTAAACAGAAATAATGCTGGAGTTGAAAGATAAAAATTTCACAGAACAGACCTCTGACAAATATTAAAAATAAAAGTAACTATACATCTCCCTAGAGCTTCTTTAGCATCAAACACAGAAAAGCAAAACAACTCTTACTACAACCTCACTGAATTGCTTTTGCATGCACACAGGTCTAGATAAACGCTAGAATAATGTGACATTCCTGGGCATGTGTAGTGAGTTGCACAGTACCCTGTCAGTTTAAAGGTGATAGAAATGCTATAAACAATATCTCAAGGTCCAAATCAGGAGCACCAGGAGAGAGAGCACGAGCAAGGAACTCAGGACTGCGAGGGGGGCACCCACACACTGAGACAATGGGGATGTTCTATCGGGAACTCACCAAGGCCAGCTGAAAAAGCCTGGGTTAAAACCGGTCTCGCTGAACATAGCAGACAATGAGGACTACTGAGACCCCAAGAACAATGGCAATGGGTTTTTGATCCTACTGCACCTATTGGTTTCGTGGGAGCCTAGGCAGTTTGGGTGCTCACCTTACTAGACCTGGATGGAGGTGGGTGGTCCTTGGACTTCCCACAGGGCAGGGAACCCTGATTGCTCTTTGGGCTGACGAGGGAGGGGGACTTGACTGGGAGAGGGGAAGGGAAAGGGGAGGCGGCGGTGGGGAAGAGACAGAAATCTTTAATTAATTAATAAAGAAATAAATAAATTAAAAATAAAAAAACAATATCTTGTCATACCTGATTATATCTATATATCTGCCTACCTGTCTCTCATCTGTCTACTTCTGAGACAGTCTCCCTCTGTACCCTAGAGCAGTCTAGACTATGTTGCCCACATGGGCCTCAACTTACACTTCCTGAGTACTGGGATTCCACGTGTCTTTCAATGCAATCCCTAGTTTTGGTTCAATTTTAAATAAAGCATAATGCTGTTACAGAGGTAGTTCTCAACCTTCCTAATGCTCTGACCCTTCAATACAATTCCTCCTGTTGTGGTGACCCCCGACCATAAAATTATTTTTGTTGCTACTTCGTAACTGTAATGTTGCTACTGTTACGAATCATAATGCAAATATGACCAACAGGTTAAAAACTGCTATGTTTATAGGATCTTGAATAATTACTTTTTTACTTTTTAAAGGTGGCTATATATTGACAATGGTAATATAAGCAATTAAGAGTTGCTTCAGTTACACAATAATTAGGTCTATCTTATCAACAAGTATTCTTTTAAAACTGAATGGGCTTAGAAAAATGTTCAAAGTGTGGACAGCTGTTCAAACAACAAGAGCTCGCTGCAGACAGACAGGTGCTGTTAATATCCCCTAGCCTCACAAAACAAGTGTTGGTTTATGAGGAATACAGAGGAAAAAATAAACATAAAATAATTAAATATCTAAGAGAGACTTACACAGATGTAATCTACATGGGAAGTAGAAAGTAGAAAAAGACAAGATCTCCTGAGTAAATTGGGAGCATGGGGACCTTGGGAGAAGTTTGAAGGGAGGAGCAGAGAAAAATATAGAGCTCAATAAATATAAATAAAAAAGTATATAAAATAATTAAATATCACATTAGTAAAAGAAAACAATACATTTTAATCTATCCTCTGAAGAATCAGTTTTTTGAGCGAAAGTTTAAAGAAAATTACAAAGACTTTCCACTGCTTGGAGGCACTTTGATAACACATACTACCTAATTTTATACATTTATTACAGATATGTAGGAAACTTGGAGCGCTGTGTTCCATCTGACTTTGATTCCAGGGTAGAAGGAGAAGGCAGATGCTCCTGAGTTCTCTGATCTCCACACATTACAAGTTACTTCAAGCTGAGGCCTACCTTACTCACTGTGGTTCTTCTGATATTTGGCACAAAGCATGCATTGAGTACATTGAAGAGCAAGGCAGACTGAAGATGTACATCCATAAGAAGACCACATTGCATGACATCATTAGTCTCATCCTAGAGAAAATTAAACATAATTAGTCTTAGGATAAATTCAATTCAGTGTCCTAACTAATTGAGTACTGTGCACTAGCCTCTCCGGTATTCACTGAACACAAAGAGCTCTCTTGCCTGTGGAAGGGCTATAGGCCTGATTGGTGACAACCTCTGTGAATTAGGTTTAGAAGATCCAGGTGTGAGGGCAACGCTGCTTTCTGAGGTAACAGACCTCCAGTGAGAACCCTGATCACCGGCAAAGCATCAAGTTTTGATTGTAAAAATGAGGTGAGACCATGTGATCATTTTCTTCACACTGACTCAGTAAACAGTGGCGACTTTTTTCTGACTTTAGTTTTTATCTTGTGTTTGTGTGGTGCACAGATAGTGTGCATGTGATAATCAGAAGACTACCTATGGGAGTCCATTCTCTCCTTCTACTGTGTGGGCCTCCAGGAAACCTCAGAATGAGACTGAGACTGAGAGCTGTCTCCTCCCGTTTTATAATCCTCTCTAGTTCTGGGATTAAGGGCGTGCACCACAACCTGTCTGGTTTCTATGGCAAGCTAGTGTGGCTACTGGGATTAAAGGTGTGTGTCATTGCTGCCTGGTCTGTAAGCTTGACCCTTGTGGCTATTTTACTTTTCTGATCCTCAGGCAAGCTTTATTTATTAAAATACAAATGAGATGTTACTACAGGAGGGCTTTCCAGAAAGAAAGAGTTATCTAGTCCCAAATGTCAACAGTGCTGAGCATGGACCCAGGCAGAGTAGAACTCATTAAACCACACTTTGCTTTTGTGAAGATTCAGAGGGAAGAAAGGTTCGCTTCATTCAGGACACTTCCCAGAGAGCCAAGCATCTGGGACGACAATGAGGACAGGGAAGAGGAAGCCAGCCTCTTGCAGCTGTTAGAGTCTTCATGTTCATCGCCACGTATAGTATTTAGGAAGCAGGCGAGAAGAGACATGATGACAGTGGCTAGTGCAGACATCACATCTCATCTAGAATACAAACTGGCATTTGCTATGCTTTAAAGAGAGAAATATGAGCTGTTTAAAAAGAGAAATTTGGGTGGGTTACATTTTGATCCAGTGTCTGCCATTAGGACCCTGAAATAGGAAAAGAAAAAGCAACAATGAGAAAGAAGATAACTTACATTACTTGAAATACTTGGTTACCATGCACTAATGATACACAGTGGCTTTCACTGTGCAAGTTTCCTTGCAAGCACATAAGGTCACATGCATCCTCGCTGTTACCCTCTCTTACACTCAGTCACCGAAAACTTGAGTCTGCAAGCACCTTACCTGCACTACCATGGAACTGGCAAGATTTTTCCATTTCCGAAGCTGTTTTACAAAGAACATTATTAGCTCCTTTCTATAAAATCTTGTGGCAATTTCCCTTGGATATGTCTCTTCCCTCAGCTAGACTGGGACACCACTCACCCATCTTGCTGGTTTGGTATCTTTTCTTTCCTCGTGGATTTGTTTATAGCTCGTAGGTGGTCCAACCTTTTAGCTGTTCAGCTCTTCGAATAGAATAAATGTATTCAGACAAGAGTAAATATTTACCTGGGCCATTTCTTCACGCAGCCCCGGATGAACTGGTGTGAGATGCAGACTGGGTACCATAGGCAAAGACCAGGATCTGAATCTGACACAGAGCTGCCCTCTTAGACTTCCATCTTCTCTGGAGAGCCACCCTGTGGGAGAGAGTATGGGAAAGGGAAGGAGAAAAAAAAAGAAAGTTCAGTATGCAAGGGAGAAAGTCCACCTCTTCTGTGGGCTCATCATTCAGACACCACTCTCAGTCAACCAGGCAGACATTTTCTCCATGAAGGCAGAATTTACTTCTTCTTTTATTCTGTTCTAGAAAGATCTTCCCATCCATCAAGCAATGTGGAATGACAACAGTAGCTATAAAGTAATTTTTTGCTGTTATTTTGATTCAGAAAAGATGTTTTCTTCTTTCTTTTTTATGAACCAGTATTTGCGAGTCATTCTCATATACATATATAGCTATAGTATATCACTCTGAAAGCATTTACTAGAGAGCCCTCTGATTTTTATGTATTCTAAGAAACAAGGAGGAAAGGGTCAGTACTCCCCCCCCCCAACTTCCCAATTAAAGTGTCATCTGATTTAGGATTGTAAGCAAGTTCGGTGATGTGTGCTTATGTAAGAGCCAGCCATGATAAGTTAAATAGAAACAGACCACCCAAAGGAAGTTCTTTACTTCCAACCATTATCACCTGCCGGAGTAGGACTCAGTCATTGATAAGTTTAATGGGTGCCCGAGTCTCAGTAGTTTACCCTCAAGCAATACCTGGTTGCAGGAAGAACCACAAACTGAGATTACCCGAGCACCACCCAAGAACAGACCATCCAAAGAAAAGTTGCAACCACTGTAGCTAGGATCACCATTGTAGATAGGATCACCTGCCAGCACACACTCACCAGGACACCCCTAGACAAATGTCAGCCAATCACGGATCCTGAACCTTAGAAACCCTTCACCCTCACTTTTACTACTATAAGAACCCACTCTAACTGAGTTCAGGGCTCTCTGATTATTCCAATACATTGGACCTGCTGAGAGACTGAGTTTGCAAACTTGTATAAAATAAAGGCTTTTTGCTTTTATGTATGGGACTTGGTCTCCTTGTTGGTTTCTGGGGGACTTCGCCGATCTGAGCATAACATTTGTAACCCCAATATTGATGAGGCAGATGTGAGGGAATTACAAACTTTATGATAGCCTGGGCTACACAGTGAAAAACCTATCTGAAAAACCAACAAAACTACTCTTGGAAGCTATAAAATATTAGCAATAATATATGTCTGACCAAAACAAATATATATTCTCTTTCAAAACAAATGTTTTTTTGAACAAGTTGATTGTAGGGTGAGGGACAGAAACCTCTTAGGGCCAGTCCCCAGCAGCGGGTGCCTGCTTCGCGTCCTACCCAAAGGACAAGAAGGCCCAACTGCGGACAGCCAGAGAGCTGCCACACATGCAAAACACTTGCAGCCCTTCTTGTTTTCTTATTTTCCTTGTTTTCATTGGCAGAGCTCTCCCTCAATCCAAAGCGGCTACAAATGAAAGCAGCTGTCCAGAGTGGAGGAAGTTCAAAGACAAGTGGAGAAAGAGAAAGGAGGTGGGGGTCACATGAGGAGAACAAACGAGGACAAGAAGAAGCTTGGCAGCTCTCCTTTGCACAGAAGCCTAAAGCAGAAAACAGATTTGGGGACAGATGGACTGACGGCAGCTATGGACAGAGGGATGCCCAGAGAGGTTTCCAAGTAGCTCAACAACCGACTGTTCTGTTTTGACAAAGACTTGAAAATGGACAACACTCCCAGGGCGAGAAGGATTTCTAAATATTTCCTTCTGAATTTGTGACGGTCACTTTCTCTTGGCTCCTAGCATTTGTTCTTTCGTGTTTCTGAATAAAGCTTGAGAGGAAAATTCTGCTGACATTTGTGAATGAATTTCCTTTGCTTTGGTTGTCAGGAAAACGCAGGCAGTGTATTTTGAAATCTGACTTTCGTAAGAATTGAATTAACTACAAGGCTGCTTTATTATGTATCTAAAGACATCTTGAAGATATTATTAGAGGATTGTAGTTAAAACTGAAATGAATTTGGGTGGAAGAACTTGAAGTAAAACAAAGATAAAGATGTCTTATTGGACCCTTCAGAATATATTTTAAAGATACAATTGAAGAGTAATAATGCTGTCCAGAATTTTAGATATATTTCATTCAAATGAAGTTAATATTTAATACTAATACATAATTCAATACTAATATTGTAAACCCTACAATGCTGGATTCCAAAACCGACTGAAAACCTCAGTGAGTGGCCAGAGTCTGGAATGCAAGTTGACTGAATGCATTTGCAAGCTCACCCACAGTGGGAAGGCGCTTCTGCGCTAGCTTCCTCAGAGAACTGCACTTACCAGTATAAACAACTGCGAAACGGGACCTAAAACTGTTTATTCTGGGTAGAAATTTCATAAAGGTGACTGTCGAACAGTGAATATTTTTGCAGACTGCCTGCCCAGTCTAGGAGGCTTTTCTTTCAGCCCACACTTTCCCACCGTGAGAAGGAGCGCTCATTAACAACCGAATTGTTTTCAGAGGCTGTGGGCTAAGGGGTTTCCTTGGAAACCATTGGGTAAGAACTGTGGCTTTCTTCCTTAGAAATCTCAAGCAGTGAAAAGGCAGATTTGCTGGCATAAATCAAACCCAATTTCTAGGGTTCACTAAACCCTTTCTCCTCAAAATAATGTTTTGTGACTTGATCTGAGCTGTTAATAGTACATGCCACAGAGCTGGTGCGAACCAGTTTTAGACGAATTTTTGTTCCATTTCTTTTGTCATTCAGTAGGAATCACTTCCAGAGTTTGTTATACCTGATGGGGGCTGAAGTGTAACAATGAATGAAAAAGATACTCCACTTTACTGTGTGGCAAAATCTCTAATTATTTTTTTCCTACTGGGTTTACTCAAGCGGATCGATCTTGGTGTCGTGAGGACAACGCTATCTGTGCTGATTTCAGAGTTGCTCTCACTTGTAAACATACTAGTTAAAGGAGCTGAGACATTCCTGTGCTAAAAATACAGGCGTTTCAGCGAAGCTACTGCATGGAAATCTTATCGCTACTCCAGAGCCACACAGCTCCGCAACATCGTGCAGTTTGCGCATGTTCTTCCTCTGGCCAGCGTGTGACCTGCCTCCGAGACAAACCTCGTGCCCACCTCACTCCACACATCTCATTCATTCACTCAGTCCATAAAACCTCAATGAGCATTAGCTGGGCAGTGGTGGGGCCTGCTTTTAATCTCAGCACTCAGAAGGCAGAGGCAGGCAGATCTTTGGGAGTTCAAGGCCAACCTGGTCTACAAGAGCTAGTTCCAGCACAGGAACCAATGTTACACAGAAAAGCCCCGTCACAAAAAAAAAAAAAAAAAAAAAAAAAAAAAAAAAAAAAACAAAAAAAAAAAAAAAAAAAAAAAAAAAAAAAAAAAAAAAAAAAAATTATTGAACATCGATTATTTGCTGTATTCTATCCTAGATCCAGGAGAGAAGAAAACACTTTCCCTTCCTTGTGGAGCTCATGGTCAAACATGAATTCTTGCTCTCTTTCCGACTCAGAGTACAGCATTCTGGCCATCACCATTGCTATTCTACTGGGTACCGGCTACACCCCCAGGTACCTTCTGTATCATCCTGTAACTATTTTTAAATCTGATTGGCTCGACTGAGGGGTTAAGGAGTAGCCATGTACATATCTCTGTGCTGCGGGAGCTTTGCATGGGTCCTGGAATACAAAAGATTCAAAGCAGAAGTTTGATGAATATGTGATTACACAGTTAATAGAACAAGTGTTCTGATATTTGAATAAAATCAACAATATGTCATAGTCTTAAAAAATCACCAACTTTTTTTTTTCTAAAAATTTTTGCCAAGCACTTTAGAGAGGTGGAAAGCCAGAGACCTGAGAAACTGTCGGGCTGTTCCAAGAACTCTGGTAACCACAGCCCCTGTCATGTCATCAGGCAACTCTTCCTTTCCTGAGACTGAATTATTGGTAATCTTACAAAATCATCTGCACTCAAAAAATGATTCAGGGTACATACTGCTCTCCTTGATTGGTTAAGAGGGTGTTGCGGCATTTTGGTTTGGGGGCCACCTGCTTCAGAAGTCATTTCACTTGACACAGGTGTGCAAAATTTCTACTATCCTAAGACCTTGCACACTCTGCCACTTCCCGCCCCCCTCCCCCCCCCCGCCTCATCTCTTACTGCTCCCCCCTTTCCCTGCTCCCCTATATCTACACTAGCCTGCTTGCTTTCCCTCAACTATATCTTGCAGTTCCGCCTCAGGACCTTGATTCTTGTTGCATGTCTCCTTGGATTCTTCCAGGCATCTGCTCCAATGTTGTCTTCTGTGCACATTGTTCTTGAGGTCCACACCACACGTCAAGCGGCACAGTTGGCCCCTCCCACTGGACGGCTTTCTACCGCCACAGTCTGCTTTCTTTATAACAATCTGTAGTAAAGAAGTGAAGATGGAGCTGGGTGGTGGTGGTGCACGCCTTTAATCCCAGCACTTGGGAGACAGAGGCAGGCAGATCTCTGTGAGTTTGAGGACAGTCTGGTCTAGCTAGTTACAGGATAGGCTCCAAAGCTACAGAGAAACCTGTCTTGGAAAAAAAAGAAAGTGAAAAGGAGTGCCTGGTTAGAAAACAATCTGTGTAAATTAAATTGTAAGATGTTACTCTTCCCCTCAGCTATTAGATAGTTACTACTCTTAATTTGTCAATTTAAAATCTTAAATGTTACTTATTAGTTTAGTGTGCATGGCGGAGAGGCACTTGTGCCATGGAGCACTGACAGAAATCAGAGGACAACGTGCAGGAGGCTCTTCTCTCCTCCCACCTGATGGCTTCTGGGCATCAGACTCGGGTTGCCAGGCGTCTTAGCAAGTACCATTGCCTTTCTGAATCATCTCCCTGACCTCACTGTCCCATAGAAACTTCTCCTCACACAGTCGCATGCATGTACACACGGTTATGAAGAAAGGATATGGGCTTGTGAGGGCTATTCTTGTTTGTCAGCTTGACCACATCTGGAATTAAATGAAATCCCCAAACGGAGAGCACACCTGTATTTTTTTTTCTTAATTTGAAGAAGGAAAATCCGCTTCTACTCTGGATCTTTGAGGTAGAAAGACACACCTTTAATCCAGATATTTTGATCTGGGAAAAGACCTGACTTTAATCTCAGATTTTTTTTCATTTTTTTATTGATTTTTATTGAGCTCTACATTTTTCTCTGCTCCCCTCCCTGCCTCTCCCCTCCCTACCTCAACCCTCCCCCAAGGTCTCCATGCCCCCAATTTACTCAGGAGATCTTGTCTTTTTTCCACTTTCTACTTCCCATTTAGATTAGATCTATGTAAGTCTCTCCTTAGTGTCCTTATTGTTGTCTAAATTCTCTGGGATTGTGGTTTGTAGGCTGGCTTTCTTTGCTTTATGTTTAAAAACTACCTATGAATGAGTAAATGTGATAATTGTCTTTCTGGGTCTGGGTTACCTAACTCAAAATAATGTTTTCTAGCTCCATCCATTTTCCTGCAAAATTCAAGATGTCATTTTTTTTTCCTATGTAGTACTCCATTGGGTAAATGTAGCACAATTTCCTTCTTTGGTCGAGGGACATTTAGGTTGTTTCCAGGTTCTGGCTATGGCAAACAAAGCTTCTATTAACATAGTTGAGGACACCTCCTTGTGGCAGGTTTGAGCATCCTTTGGGTATATACCCAAAAGTGGTATTACTGGGTCTTGAGGAAGGTTGTTTCTTAATTTTCTGAGAAATCGCCACACTGACATGTGTGAGGGGTTGTACCAGCTTTCATTCCAACCAGCAATGCATAATCTCAGATCTGTAATCTGGGCCATACCTTCTGCTGGAAGTATATGTAAGGATATGGCAGAAGAAAGGTTTTGCTCTTTTCCTGCTTTCTCTCACCTTGCTAGCAAGTTCATTTCTTCATGGCATTAGAGCCTACTTCTTCATATACTGAAGTCCAGCCTGTGGTCTGAGCAACTTCTGGATCTTTGTTCATAGCCAATTATTGTTGGATTAACTGAACCACAGCCTATAAGTCATTCTAATAAATCCCATTTATATACCTAAATAGATAGATACGTAAGTAGATACATAGATGGACAGATAAACAGACAGACGGGTTGATAGTCATTCTATAAGTTCTGTTTCTTTAGAAAACTCAAACTAATACCAGGCTAAAAGGTACTTCTCAGTTTTAAGTCATCTGAACCTTTCACTGTTACCTATTAAACGCTTTCCCAAATGATGGCATTACTGAACGGTGACTGGGCCAGAAGGACTGTTATCTAAACAGTGGTTGGAGTCATAATTTGATGGTGTGACTAGATCTAGGAGGAACTAATAGGTGAGGCCACCTGGGGGAATAAGGTCACTAAGAGTGTGCCATGAAAGGGTTGGTTTTGTTACTGTCCCCCTTTTCTCTCTAGCTCCTAGTGGCCATGAAGCAAGTAGATTCCCACCAGAGTGCCTTGATGTCATGATATTTCTGCCATGCAACAGGCATGGGGCAATGGTGCCAGTCAACAATGGCCTGAAATTTCTGAAAATGGCAGCCTAAAGGAGTCTTTCTTCTCTTTAATAGTTCTCACAGGTATTTTGTCATAGCTAGAAAAGCAACTAAACTACTGGCCGTATTGATTCCTTTCCTGGTCCCTAAATTTTCTTACCTATGATGGCCAACCTGGCTCTGCTATCAATTCAAGGTGTTCTCACTTCTGACATTTTCTTCACTGCTCTTTGTTTTTGATGATATAGTATTACTCTGTCATCCAGGCTAACCTTGAACTAATGAAAATTTCCCAACGTCTCCTGAGTACAAGGATTTCAGGCTTGAGCCACTGTGCCCAGCACAGAAACTCGGTTCTGGTGTGTATTACATCTTTAGCCCCTGAAATGTTGAGAACGTTCAGACAATGAGGCAGGACACTGATACCACTCATCAGACAGCAGTCCTCACTGGGCATTTGCTGAGCAGCAAGATACAAAGCCCGTGGCAGTACAAGGTAGCCCAGGCTCCATTCATATCATACAACGATGAAAGTAAAATGTTTCCTAGGATGGTGGGACCGAGCTGGTGGAGAGCTTCTGGTTGTATTCAGAACCAACCATAGTCACAGATGGAACCATGACTACCCAAGCCTCTGGGTGCCATTGTCAGGAGGAGGGAGAAATAAATTTTAAACTTGGATCTTTCTGACTATAGTCAGCTGCTCAGACAACATTTAAAGGAAAGGTTATGAAATAAATTCTATTCACAGAAATCCGTTCTGTTGTAGCAATTGTCTCACTGTCCTCTCTCACTGACAAATTAACTTCTTGGTACACAAAGACCATTCTCCAGTTATCTTTGCATCTTTTCATTAACCAGACACTCAGAAAAGAATACATTTTTGATAAATGTTAGTAACTAAATTAAGTGATTTTTGGTGCCTACCTTGCTTTACCCATTAGATTTTTGTCTTGTTTTTGTTGCACCCGTCCCTTAACCCCCTCAACTTAAAGGCCAATTTAAGATTTACAACTCTTACTTAAGGTCATGGATGTTTCTGAAATCACTCAGTGTTTTTTATATTTTTCACAGATGTAAATCTTCAAGTGTGGAAAGGCATACTGGCCCTTGTGAGTCCCTTTCTGAGATGCCTACTACTGTCAATAAATACACTCTGTTTACCAAAAATAGGGAAGTGCACATTTGTATATAAATTTATTCTTTCAAACAATTCAGAAGAGGAATGAACATTCCAAACAGGAAAAACCTTTAAACTTCCTAATAGCAGGCAGATACTAGTATAGTCTGCATGTTGCAGTCAGTGGACAAAAGAGTTTCATTTCGTTCTGGTTGGGGCATCAGACTACCACCTGTGAAACAGGGGCTCCCATGAAGATAAAGTTATTGCTAAAAGAACAAAACAGTTAGTGAAAATAGTTTTATTTTAATCATTTTCTAAAAAAATATTACTGATTGATAGCAAAGCTGTTAGGAATTGAATGCCTGCTGTAAAGTCTAATAAAAAAAAGTAATACAAGGGGGAAGCACATTGCCACAAACCAAGTTATTTTATTATTCCTAAGGAATAGAGTCACAGCATGAATGACACAATAAAAAAAACATGCCACTCTCTAAATTCAAAAGTAAAATCAAACACTTACGGGTGTTAGTCAAAAATTTTGCCTTACTTCTTTTCCTTCTAAAGTTATCAGAAACATAAGTTATGAGTGGGATTGTGTTTTCTTCGCCTAACCCTGTATAAACTTAACTTTTCCAGAAAGATGAGGGAAAGCAGGAGGAAACTGAGCAGAGAGCTGCTTTCTATTGGCGTCAGACGTCTGGGAGAAGAGCTCCAGAAAGAATGTGCTATGGTTCTTGTTTTCATTGCTTAAGAAATAAAATTTCCAGCCTAAGATTATAACTGTGAAAAAATGAATCTCCAAATTCTGAGACTATATGTGATACAAACTTCCTTTAAAAACACCAGTGACAAAGTCAGTGGCAGTATAAGGTGAAACAAATAGAGATCAAGTGACCAGTGTCCTTTGTGTAAACCTTTCCCAGGCCCTAACAGATTAATGTATCAATACACTTTTGTACAGTTTATAAGATAAGTAACGACAGCTGGCAAAGGCTCAATTTGGATTATGAATTCGTCATTTCCTCTCTTCCTGGAGTGTTGAAGTGACCACACAGAGCTTAATAATACAGTGAAGAGGTGGATGGAGCTGGGAGCTGGCGATACGTTAAGTGTGGAGTTAATGGAATAGACTGATGTGGTCTTCAGGGCTGTATATAGAACAAATTACAATTAGCTAAGTGAGATCAAGACTAATATATGGCTGAGAGTGGTGGTGCATGTTTGTAATTCCAGCATTCAGGAGTGTGAGGCAGGAGGATCACTGCAAGTGTGAGGTCAGCTTGGGTTACATAATGAAGTTAACCTAGACTTTATAGCAAGACTGTGCCTCTGACAAAATACATATCAATAAGTCATATTATGGTACGAATGTATCCTTTGGTTCCTCACACAGGATGCATATGGCTAACTCAAGGAGAAATGTAAAAGAGATTTACTCAAACTCTTAATCTTAACATGCAGAAAACTGTTGGTAACAATAAGTTTAATGACTGAAAAGCACTTTTAAAGATCAACAATAAAAACAGACCTTCTGTTTCTACATATGAATCCTTCCTACTGCAACAGTTTGAATAGCTGTTTGCCTCTCTTCCAATTCATATGTCTAAATCTAACCTAAATATTGTATTTAGATTAGACACAGAACCTAGTCACCAATATGACAGTATTAGGGAATAGACCTCAAGGAGGTGATTAGGTCATAACGATAGGGTCCTCATGGAAAGGATTAGTGCCTTTTAAAATGGGTGCCTGAGAGCTGTCTTTCCATTTCTACCATGTGAAAGCATGA